CAGGCAGCTCTGGCGTGCGCTGTCCAGTGTGACGCCATGGTCGCCACTGAGATACGTGGAAGCACCGCACCTGAAGGTGCCTGCACGTGGCAAAAAAAAGCAAAGCGAACATGGAGACATGACTTGTAATGCAAAATATGCATGCTTCTGAGCATCAACAGGGTGCATACATTGCTGCTCAATGGAATCTGATCATGCGCCCCTCTCTAATTGAGCACTTGTTAATCTGGAACCCTTGCAAACCAGCACACTTTCTGACAATGCACATTTTTAATTTCATTTTATACGCTTTAATCCGGTACTTTCATTTCTGGATCCACTGAGCGATTTTTGCAACAGATCGCTCAACCTGTACATACGATGCTTTTCGTAGTACAAACTTCGAACACTCAAAATTCACCCAAAAAGGTAGGATGCGGCTTACACTGCGATGATCAAATTAACGATGATAAATAGTTATGACGTCTGCATTTCTTGGCAAGGAATGGGTGTGTAGCTTACACTCCAAAAAAACTGTAACTCGATTTCATAACCCCAACAGTAACACATCGCAGCCTGCAGCGGTGCCCAGATATGCCAGTTTGATCAGATCAAGATGTGTATGAACTAACTTATCAGGGCAAAGTCTTCACATGCTACAAACAGTTACGCGCTGCATAAGTTAGACACGCATTCCGCAAAGTGCCTGGATTGACACAGAACATCCCTGCGCATAACGCAAACATGAATGCTAATAGGTGGGCCAGGCAGAGTCATTTGATAATCCAGCACCCTTGTTTATCCAGCAGAAAATGCCGTTACTCAAGGTGCGGGATTAGAAAGAGACAATTGTAGTACCCTGTGCCACTGAGGGACAAAGTCACAGGAGTGATTGCAGCACTGGAAGAAACATATCCTATGTTTTCCTCCTAGCACCTCGTACCCAGATGTTCACAGGTAAGGAGTTTGGTTGTTTCATTTGCAGAAAAATCTGATTTCTAGTTTGGTTGCCCCTATTAGCGTATTCTTCAGTTTAATATAGACAGACATTACATAAATAGACATTACATGGACAAACACTGCATAGACAGACGTGACATGTATACACATTTCAGTGACAAACACTGCATAGACAGACATCAACAACTGTACATGTGCATACACATGCATGTTCATCCACCCTTTCACGACTGACGGAAACACACCTTATGTGTCAACATTCAAAGAGCCCCCTGTCAAACGAATTTTTTCACCGACCGTTCTTGTACTGTGCTGTGTGCAAAAGCGAAAAGGACTCACGTGTCTAATGGCTTTCCTTCTATCCACTCTACTTTATTGAGTCTTACTTACATAGCAACTCAGTCGTTTAACCGCTACTTAAGTTCTAAGTGACCGTATTTGGAGTGAATGGATCAGGAAAACTAACGGTCGCGAGACAGATAAAGCAATGATTGAGCTCAGTCGCCATCAGCAGTGCAGGTGGCAAGGCAGGCATGCATGCAGGCTAGTCTCGCGAGAGGCATTGCAAGGCCCAGAGTCATACCCTAGCGTAGCAGGATGGCATGCCTATGACAATCTTGTACTGTACTTACGCATGTCGATGCTGGCAGTGTGGCATGACGGAAGAACCACAGCTAGGCCTAGGAGCAGCACCAGTGTCAATGCCGGCGGTGGCCTTACTCGGGATCCACACGATGCCATTCTTGATGATATCCTTGTTTGGGAGAGAGGAGAGAAATGTGAAACTGGACAATGAACGGAAAGTGGTCTAACTAAAGCCTGCGCCACTCTCGATGTTCTTTTATGGCCAGCTGACTGCAGTTGTACGACTAGCACCTTTCTCTGTCCTTTTAGGCATCGAAGGGGTCTCTTTAAGCCCCGCATTCTACGCGCGTTTTTTTTTCTACGTGCGGCTCTCAAAAGGATGATCCGGCTCCCAAAAGGGTTTCTCTCTTTGGGTGTTTGTACCGACCAGTGCCTCCTAGATCCTAACTACTGCGTACTGTCTGTCTGCTCTGAAGACACCGTGCGCGCGCACCCGTTTGGGATGCCTAGAAGTTGCAGATGTACGATGTGCTGAGCTAATTGCAGCCTGCATGCTGCAGCGCATCCTCTTTCGCGCGATGCTCCTTTCTGCGCCCATTTAGTGGCCGGTGGCCGTTTTTGGAGGTAGTCTAGGGATCCCAAAACAGTTCCCCTACTCAAGTAGCACTATAAATGCGTACAATGGCATCCAAAAACTGTCCATGTACTGATGCATACAATCAAGACGAAAGACAAGACGCAGTCGCACCACGTGCCTCCTCTCGATTTGGTTATTCTTCTCTTTCTTATTTAGCCGCTGACCGTACCGCTGGAACTCAGTTCCGGCATCGGTCCGCCTTGCTTCACCAAATCAATTTCGTATCGCAATCCCAGATTGGCTAGGGTGCCCCGTAAGGAGACCATAGGAGCTGCGGGGAGTCACTGGGGACTGCCCTAGAGAAATCTGAATAAATACGATACTATACTATACTGACTACAACAATTCCCATGACCCATGCGCAACAGATCAAGAATACGAGATCTAGATATGGCGCCTCTTCACTCCGTTTTCGGTCGCGTCGAGCGAGCTGTACTCCAGATTCCGAGAGGCGAGCTCACGCCCCTACATGGCTACTTCCCATTGTCGAACCCTCAAGACGAAAGAAGCACATGGATGCTGTTTAATAATAGCCGAGTTGCCGAAATTAAGAATATGACGAGATATGATTGTACTGATGAGTTCATACTGTACTTTATGGACCGGGCAAAAACGGAAATACGGAGCTGCTTTTGCCTCGTTGGTAGGATTGCTTTGGCCCCGACTTTACGGCTCCTTCTTCTTTATAAGCTGTCGACGGAGGCTCCCTTGATTTAGGCTGAAGCCTGTGCATGTGGATCATGGAGAATCCACTCAATTATGCAAAGGAAAGAAGGCGATTATTATCATTATAAAAGTTTGAACATGACAATCCTCACAGGGCCTAGGGCCTTCCTATAGGGTACCCTACATGTACACACAACAGAGGCGAAAGGCTGTAACCATGACTATACATGATAGTACATGTATGTGAGTCGCATTTGCACGTGTCTTAGGTGTTCAGAAAAAGTTCAATCCCCCAAGTATCGCCGAAGTGGCACCAACCTCCCCTTCACATTGTTGCCTCCGGCGCGAGCTTGCGAATTAGATGGTTTGGAGGCAACAGCGTTGTGAATGGCCAACGGTCCTCATTGTTTGTTCAGCACCTCCATGAGCGACACTGACTCGCGCTGCTATCTGGTGTTTACGAGGTGTTTGTGGCGCTGGAAACGGAGCGTCTCTGGAAGTTTGTATCCCGGGTGAAGTTTGTGCCTGGATAGCACTATAATAAGTGGTGCTCTTCAGACACAATCTTCCCCAGTCTATTCAAACTCAACTGATGAGGGGTGGGCGCATTTAACGTGTGGCTGGGGGTAGAAGCGAAAACCAAATCACTATGACTTTAGTACTGGAGATATGATAAGCGATTTTGTAGCGTCAACAGAGGTAACTCAAAGAGTGCATAGGTGCACAAGCACGCAGAGAGGAAGTTCACATTGGATTCTGTCAATCGGCGTAGTCGGTCCAGTCGGTAGCCAATGGACGATATTGTAACTTGTTCGAAATATTTGCAGATCCTGCTCGAAAAACAGTGAAATTGGAAGAACCACACAAACCTAATGGCAGGCACTTTCTTGAATTCTGCTCATCTTCTTTATCCCGGCACGAAACATGCATGAAACATACCACAACAAGTACCTAATTCTGCCATTTTTCTGCCGGCACTATAATAATAATCTTTATTCCCGTAGCTATGCAGAAGACGTTACTTCAGTAACGTCTGGCGCTAGCCAGAGTCCACACAGCTTTAATTTGGTATTTGTGTGTTTGTGTGTTTGTTTGTGTCACGCCTGGCGCTATCCCGTATCTGACGGCAAAAAAATCATAGGGATGTTATAAATTTTTCAATTCTCCTATTTTTTCATGCATATCCTGGGATTCGAACCCGCACTATCGCCCTACATGCATTCCCCCATACACTTCGCATTCATACCCATTCTTCCAAGTTGCTTCACGTTATGATCTTGCGTTTCAAAGCCCTACTGTAAAAGCCATATATAACGAAGTGGTAACTCTAACGAGTTAACGAGGCGAAATCTGTCGTTAAAATAGAAATCGCTATATAGAAATCGATACGTATCTATTATCACTCTCTTATTATTGACCCCCACAGAAACTTGTGATAAGCGGTCAAATATCAGCATATATTGACCGCTTATATTGACCACTTATTATTGACCACTTAGCCCTAGGACTTAGAACTTTTTCCTCAACTTAGAAAAAAATCAGAACTGAAAGAAGAAAAATCTGAAGCCATATGCTGGGATTTGAACCCAAACTGTCAGATTCTCAGTCAAAGAACTTGGGGAACATACTACAAGAGACAACTGAAAACTTCGGTTTACACAGAAGTAATGTCCAATGTAAACGGCATATCTACATACTATTATACTATTACAATAGTATTATTTTCTTCACAGTAGCAAAGCAAAACCAGTTTTAGGTATGCTATGTCGTGATAAATCTATTATTGCCCTCATAATCGGTCAATATATGAAATATAGACCTCGTAAAAGACCTCGGGGGACCTCGGTCTTTTACTCGTTCTATATTTCATATATTGACCTCTTTAATCGTGCAATAATAGATACTTATTGCACGATTAAAGAGGTCAATATATGAAATATAGAACGAGTAAAAGACCGAGGTCCCCCGAGGTCTTTTACGAGACAACGCTCTCAGCAAATAGAAAGAATAATGCGCACAGCTGCACCTAAATAATACAGTTTCTGGGAACACCACCGTTTATGTCTGTGATAATATAAAAATTTGAAACTCGGGTATTGAGCCAATAATAAAAGTAGAAAGGAAAAGGACATAATTATGGAAACGTTGTTAAACCAAAGTTTTGTCAGTTTTGTGCCTAGTTGTTGCACTTTCTGACTGTATATAGTATCTAGGTACAGTGGTGGAGAGTTACTCGTTTCCATATGTCCTTTTCCTTTCTACTTTTATTATTGGCTCAATACCCGAGTTTCAAATTGCACACCTGATGAGCCGTCACGAACCATACGGCGAAACGTACGTCGTGTGAAACAACTTGTTTTGTAGTCAACTAGTCCATCACAATGTCATGCATGAGGAGTACTGTAGGAGTTTAGATTTCGGCTTGTACAATTCGTTCTCGCAAAGCTTCCCCCTTCTTAACTTATCTTTGATATTTTTGACCCACCCAAGTTGGGTGGTGTGCTGCTTTGCTGCTTCGAATTGTAGTTAGACCGCTTTGTCAAATCGCCTACTGGTCTCGTCATCGTCCAGTGACAATCGACATTCTTTGTTCCGTTGGGACTGTAGCTTGTGCTCGTTTTCGTTGCGCTTGCCTTCCCCTCTTTGGTCTTTCCATAACCTTGAACCTTCCAAGTTGGAAGGCTGTCGGTTAGCGCTACGGAGATGTGTTGAAGCTAGGTGTCAGGACGTCGAATGTCTCAGTACTCTGTCAGTTTTGTGCCTAGTTGTTGCACTTTCTGACTGTATATAGTATCTAGGTACAGTGGTGGAGAGTTACTCTTAACTCGTTTCCATATGTCCTTTTCCTTTCTACTAATAATATAGAAATGTTCGCTTATTTACATAATTATGTACATTGTTCAACAGGACAGGGCGATTTATGAATGAAGGTGTGAAAATTGTATTGACATCGAGACCATATCAGGTAGCAACCAATGTGGGTTGGTAATTGCATAAAACACACGCTGAGAAGACAGCTTGCTCAAGAATATCAAATAAATTGTTGTCAATGACACCATCCAGAAGACGATATTGCTTGATGCGGTTGATGGCTCTTTCCACTTGAATTCTTACAGCAGCGATGGACTTCGCTTCGACAACACCCTGGGGGAGCATTTGATGTGCCTTGGTGCTAAATGGTGGAATATTCAGCCGGACACCGTATGGAGCAGGGAGGTCTTGGATGTTGAAGCCCTTGTCCGCCATGACTGAGTCACCATGGTCCATCAGTGAGATGAAGCCCGAGTCAATGACTATATCCCTGTCCGAGATTGACCCCTCATACAACGTGGAGACAAAGCTGATAGTTCCGTTAGGAGTGATTCCAATGAGGGACTTGCACGTGGTGTGATTTTTGTAAGCGGAGAATGCTGCATTGTTGGTGGACAGACGGGACGGCCGCTCGATGAAAAACTCGGTGCAGTCAATAATGACTCTAGTAATAATAATAATAATAATACCACAGCACGCGTAATAATATAATTATGTGGGTATAATTATACGTTCCGCTTCTGTCCTATCTCCTATGATCAAATTCCATTATCAAGGTAATTATTAACACGGCGCACTGATGACCTGTGACGCCAGATCATGGATTGTCGGCCAGATTTCTCCATGTAGGCTTGTCCAGAGCGATGGCCCTCACATTCCCCAGCTGACTGCTGCGCTTCAAGTCGATGTTCCTCCTCTGTAAGTCGCTTGTGATGCGCGTCGCAATGGATGTCCTTGGACGTCCACGCCCAGCCTTGGCATCTCCCGCAAAATAGCCCGTCAGCGCGATCCATGGCGGCGCATCCCTGTCCATACGGAGAATATGGCCGGTTAGCTGCCATCTTCTCCTGTCCACGATGTCAGATAGTGGTTCCGTGTTGCACCTCTCATACAGCTCAGTATTTGATATCCTGGCTGGGTAGACTATGCCAATGAGCCGTCGGAGCTGCTTCCGGTGGAAAACGTTAAGCGATTCTGCTTGTGATGACTCTAGTAGTGGGGTAGTATATCTTGAAAGATTTGGGCATGTCTTTGTCGATACGCCGACGAGACGGAAACACCAGCATTTCTTTAAAGGTCACATATATCAAATTCACCCATGACGTGAAGTAGCTTGACAGGGTTGAACTGTCCACCTTGAATCGATCTGCCAGATCGTCCAACACGAGTCCTTGCCGTAACCTGACACATACAAAGAAGAATTGCATCTCCAGGCTGAGTTTAGGCAATGGACCATTCTTTCTCCCGAGTCGCTCACCATCAAGCTTCGTCCTCGATCCTTTCCAAGCTCGCATCTCAGCAGCGTCTGACTCCAGATAGTGAAAACATGCCATCAACATGTCAAATGACGTGAAGCCGGTGTAGAGCTTCACCATGTGGGCCTTCTCAGAGAACCTACGGATGTCAAATTTGTGCAGGACCAGGCTTTCCTTTGTCTGCCTGAGCTCCTCTTCCAATGTCTTTTGCTCTTTCCACAGTTTGGAGCAAAGACCCACACTCACATCCCGAGACGACTTAGCGGACTGCAGTTCTAAGTCAAGCTTCTCATTTTTCAAGTTCAATTCTGCTACTTGTTGCCTGAGTCTCTCCAACTCATCCACTGAGTCGTCTTGGTGGCTGCCCTCACCGTCATCCACAACCATTGACTGAGCATCTTCGTCACTCGAACTGGAGTCTGACGTAACCGGCTTCAAGAACACCCGCTTTTTTAGCTGGTGGTTTTCGCGAAGGGCCCTGTGTCGCTGATTTATGGAACGAGAAGACGGTAGGTACTGTTCCAGGTACCAAGCGCGGTCGAGGTTTGCCACCCTTTCCCTCCTTTTGTCTTCGTTTCAAAGCACGATCACTCACAACACGATAGTCACTTTCTTGGAAGTGTAGTCCGCAAACTTTTGTTGTTTTCGGCTTCACCTTGAAGTGCTTCCCTTCATCACGACGAATGGCATGTAGCCAAGCAGACTTCAAAGCACGATCGGTTGGAAAGTCATGGAACTTTGGTGAATTTGGTTTTCCATACTCAGATTTGCACAACGGAACACAACAGTAGCTACCAGTGACTCTAGGCTTGTCACCATCGTCTCCTGACAGAGAAGAATCGCTGCTGCCATCGGGATCAAGCCCAGTCGCCGCCATCACATACGGTACTACATGTACAATGTACAAAACTGAACTAAAGACACGAACAAGAAAAAAAGCACTGCACCAAACAATCAAAATAATTTTTTACAAACTCTTTCAAGTCTTTGGCAAGGAAGAGGTTGCGGGCAAAGACTTTTGCCCACAACGTCAACATCGCAGACCACCAACACCAGCAGTACAGGCACTTCCTAAGCTTCTGCCACGCTACCAACTTACAGAACGTAGTTACGTCCCCAACCAGATTTCCGAGCCAATCGGTGCTAGACTTAATCTTACTACCCCGTACAATTTATCCACCAGCACGCATCTCTCATTCCTCAGGGAGACAGAGCATCATGTACCATGGCTGTTCCGTTGAGCCATGCGACGCTTCCGATCATCAACTAGTAGTTTTAGAGCTGTTGGCTACATCGCACTCTGCGCCGCAGAATCCACCAGTCAGAACCCGGAAGCCTCCAATAAGAACCATAAACGCACAGGCATTCCAGACAGAGATCACTTCGAAGATGTCAATCGTCGAGAACCAACCAACTGACCTCAATGCAAACATTGAACTTTTTCAGGGCTCCATCACTGAAGCACTTGATCACCATTGCCCCGTGAGGATAGTTACCTTTTCCACTAAGTATAAACCCGCACCATGGGTCGACGACGAGCTACGTAAACTGCTCTACCGCAGAAAACGAGCTCATAGACTCCTGCTGAAACAGCCGGGTGACCAGCAGCGAATCCAGTCTTTCCGAGCGCTTCGCCGACAGTGCAAAATCACCATGCGCCGTAAGAAAGCCAATTACTTTCAGGCCGAGTTCATCAACAACAGACGGAACCCTAGACGTCAGTGGAGCGCTATGAACAGCCTACTTGGCAGAACGAAAGTCAGCCGTGAGCCTGGAGCTAGTATTGCAGACATTACATCTGTATTCTCAGAAATAGTTGGACCTTTGCTGCCGACAGAGACTTCTGACGCCCTGACGCTGGCATCCGTGCCTGATCAACCATCCAACATTCTACCTGGTCTGCCGTGTGGCCCCCAGTCAGACGGCACTCTAGTTTCTTTTACCCGAATCGCAGCGGAGGACGTTAAGTTCCATCTCCGTGCTATGGACAGTCGCAAAGCAAGCGGTCCTGACGCCATCCCCCCGCTCGTTTACAAACTTGTGCCTGATCAAATTGCACCAACGCTTGCCTCTCTCTTGTCGTTATCCCTCGAAACTGGAGAATTCCCAACGCCCTACAAGCTAGCACATGTCCGTCCGATCCACAAACGTGGGGACGCTTCCGACCCTCGCAACTACAGACCCATCTCCCTCCTTCCTCTCATGTCCAAACTTCTCGAGCGGTGTGCGCTAGAGCAACTTACGCAATACATGGATAGCGCCAGTCACATGGAATCCCTCCCTGCAGTTCAGTTTGCGTACCGCAAAAACCACTCCTGCGACGATCTTCTCGCTCTGGTGGCAAATGATTGGAGTCAAAGTCTAGACCAGAACGAGTATGTGGCTGCAGCTTTCCTCGACATGTCCAAAGCCTTCGACACTGTCAACCACAGTTTGCTCCTCCAAGAACTGTTCGAGATTGGCGTGGGAGGGGTTGCACTGCGTTGGTTCGCATCATACCTCACTGACCGGCAGCAGAGAGTTGTCACCAAGTCTAGCAGAGGTGCCTGTTATTCTGCCTCCAGAGGTGTACCTCAAGGATCTATCCTTGGACCTGTCTTGTTCAATCTTGCTGTCCGCAAACTGCCAGAGTGTGTTGCTAGTACCAAGGTCCGTCAGTTTGCTGACGACGTTTCTGTCTACAAATCCGGAAGGGATCCACAGAAGCTCACTGCAGACTTGGCCAGAGACGTTCTGTCAATCCGCAACTTCCTCCGGGACCACGGCCTTAAACTCAACGCGGAAAAGACACAGTTCATCATATTCCGCCCAAAGTCCAAGGCGGTCCCAGCTAATCTCCAATTGTCAATTGACAGCACTAGCATACCGCCTTCAGCCACGATCAAATACCTTGGCCTCCTGTTCGATGAGCATCTTACGTACCGAGATCACATCACGCTCCTGGAACGCAAGATAGGCACTAAACTCGCTGTGTTCAGGAAAATCAAACACAATCTAACACCTGCTGCCAAACGAGTCTTCTACTGTTCCTTCATTCAAGCCCAACTTGAATACGGCTCTAATGCATTTGCGCACAGCCTCCAAGTCTCACAAATGGACCGCATTACTCGTATCTCCAACCGTGCTGTTCGGATTGTCTTCGGCTACCCGAAGTACTACGATGCTTCTCTTGTTCTAGCTAGGAACTATCTCGCTGCTATCTCCCTTAGATATCAATTTCGCCTGTTTGTACTGGTGTTTCGAGCCCTCCATAAGTTGTGCAGTCCACTACTCTCGACCTGCTTCCTCCCTCGCCCTGCCACTTCACAAACCTCAGCCCGTACACGCTCTCAATCCACTTTGTCACTTAGTCTTCCTTTAGTTTCTCGCCGCTATGGTTTATACTCGCTTAGCTTTCTTGGTTCTGATCGTTGGAATGCGCTTCCTGCTGATATTCGCACAATCTCCTTGCTCAGAAACTTCCGTTCATCTATTCAACAATTCATAGGGTACCCTGTAAAAAGGCCCTAGGCCTGTGGGACTGCCCTATTCAAAATTTAATAATAATAATAATAATAATAATAATAACTCGGCACTTTACCACGGCACGCGATTACATCATGTCTCCCAAATATGGAATTACGCAATGAGCTTATGACGAATGGAATACTTGGGACCAATTCGATGCCCAGCCGCTGTTCTCCTCGTCTTCGCAAAAATTGTAAAACAGACACCACCATGTAGATTCTACCATGGCCCGTTCGCGCTTTGTTATATGTGGCATGTCGAGAGAACAAGTAAGTTGCCACGAACGAAAAGACACTGGAGAAAAAGCAAAACAGGGCCACAGAGCAGTCAGCAACAAAATGATTCCTCCGGTCAAAGGACACTCGGCTCTGAACAAAATGGCGAAATGCCACGAGTCACACCTGGTTTTCGAATTTCGCGCGCAGATTTTCGTGACGCACGCCTCAATTTCAAGACCTATTGTATTTGTGTATCGCTGCCTGAATGGCCTTGCTTGCTCTCTCCTACAAGAGCGCTTTACTCTTCGTGCTCACGGTGCTCACACTGCTGCCCTTACCCGTGGTCAGGTGTCTGCAGCGCTTGTTTTACCCCCTGCTAGCACGCTCTATGGTTTCAGTGGAATTTCTTACGTAGGCGCTGACTGGTGGAATGCACTGCCGCCTGCTTACCGCCTTTCTAATTCACCTGCTGAATATCGATGGTCCATCAAGACTTTCTTAGGGTTCCCTGTTAGAAGGCGATGACGCCTGTTGTCATGTTGGGAATTCCCTAGTAAAAATGAGAAAAATAAATAAATAAATACGGCAAGATGTAACAAAGGCCTACCATGCGACAAAACAGAGAATACATCATCGGAATACCACTCACGACAACTAGCACTGCCTGGCAGGTGACACTTGATTGCCGAGGTTCTGTTTCCCTGACCCGACGACTTGGCCGTTGTCACCTCTGAGCCTGCCAATTGCCAGTCTCTCCCATCACGGCCTGCGTCCCTGCAATTCCGATTGCCTCGGTCGACATCGGTGTTCGTGTGGGAGCAAGCTCATTCCTAAAATATGCATCCCCGAAGTCGCAACCACTATTTCGTTCTGTTGCGCCCAGCGCGGGCTGGGGACTAGCTGGTTTGGAGGTGACAGCGTTGTGAATGACCCAGGGTCCTCTACGTCTGTTCTCACCGTCCAGGAGCGACACTGACACTGCTATCTGGTGTTCACGAGGTGTTTGTCGCACTGGAAACGGAGCGCCTCTGTAAGTTTGTATCCCTTGTGAAGTTTGTGCCTGGAGAGCACTATAAGTGGTGCTCTTCAGGCACAATCTTCCTCAGTCGTGAGTCAGTCAAGTCAAGTCGGCGGAATAGCGCGAGCTCCAGTGTGGGAGAAAACTCATTCCTAAGAGTATAATTACCCGGTATGTAAACATGTAAATGGGTGCATATGCATTGACCGGACATACATGTACAGTATAAAGGGTGGAGGGGTAGGGGGCGAGGGGTAGAGGGGTAGCCCCTGGCACAAAATGACGCCAGAAAAAGTGTGCAGAATTCGGCATTTTCCAGGTGTGTGGATAAAGAAATTGAGCAGAATTCAAGGAAGTACCTGAAATAGGTGTTGTCTGTTTGTGCCAATTTCACTGTGGTTTTTGGAGCGGAATCTGTCAATTTTTCGAGCATTATCCACTAAGGAGCAGTCCCTGATTAATATCGATCTTTTACACTAGAGAACAAGTTTCGTTTACGGGTGGGTGGGTCAACGGGATCTTCGTTTTGAAAAATGTTGATATTTGAGATATCGTGGCCTTCTTGCTGTCAAGTCAATCCATTTTTCGTTCATGGGGTTGGGTGGGCGGGGGAGGGTCGTAATAAGTGGACCGCCTGCTCAAGG